GCATGCCACAATCAATATGTCTGTAACCCCTCAGAGAGTGGCGACAAGACCAGGGTATAAACTTCCTGCTTCTTAAGACCTAGTATCAACTTCTCTTTTTATTAGGGTGGCATGAGTCACCACACAAGCTGCTTGGATCAGGAGCTGACAGCTGTGCAGGGGTTTTATCTGGAGATGCCCTGCACCTGGGAACTTTGGAACAGCCTGGATCCTTGGGGCCCACAGGATATTAGATTCCCAAACTCCTGCCAGGAAAGCAAACCTTCAATCACCTATAAAGTGGACAGCCAACATCCATGATTAAAACCCAAGATTATCCCAGGAAATTCTACTCCTTCCATTATAATGGACATCCGTGTGCCTGTTCCCAAGATCCGCTCTTTGATTTGTGTGCTGTAGGCACTGGACAAATATGACCTTCGTTTTTCTTTACAAATTGTCAGAGATCCTCTAATGCCATAGAAACAAGGGAGTGTACAACTTTCTTCCATTCTAATCTTCACAGCTGGCCAGCTCCAGGAATGAACCTGTGCCAGCCAGCTTCATCCATGTTGGAGCTCTCTGAAGACAGCTTCTTCATTCATGATCACCATTTCTCAAGGCCATCATTTTCCCATCCCCTCACCACAAAAGTCTGGGACCCGCTATGAAATGCCCATCTTCGGAAGAAAAGAGATCCTGATGCTCAAAAGGAAGCAGCATCTATTATTAGGAGAAGGCAGTGTCAAACCCAGTCCTTTACAAAGAGTCCCAGTTAATGCTGAGACATGTTTCTTATTCTTGACTTTTTTCCTTTTGAAACTGAAATTTTATACCACATTTACTCATTACGTGTGTGTGTGTGTGTGTGTGTGTGTGTGTGTGTGTGTGTGTGTGTGTGTGTGTACAAATGCAAGCCTGAAAATCTGACTTTGATTCCTGGGACCCATGTGGTGGGAGGAGAGGGCTGACTTCTCAGGCCCTGCACCTCACATGGGCAGCATGACTGGGGGAGAGATACTGCCCACCCCACCCACTAAAGCCCGAGGCAGGTGGGAGAGCTAGCCTGAGGTCATAAGAGTGGGAGAGCTGGTCCTGCCCCTCATAAGCTGCAGCAATATGCTACACCTGGGCAACACAGTAGGGCTGGCCCTGAAGGTGTAGGGAGATCAGACCCCATGATGGGAAAGCAGGAGAACTGGCCCTGCCCCTCACTCATCGCTGCAAGGGGTAAACGCACCAGGGCAATGCAGGAGAGCTCACCCTGGTGGTGAGGACAGGGGAGAGCTGGCAAGCTGACCAACCCTGCAACTACCCAGGCCCAGAACCAGGGTTATGACTCCAACATCTACCCCATCTGTGATCTGCTGGAGCATGTGAAGGGACCAATTCTGCAGACCCAAAGCTGCAGGATCTCCACAACACAGGACAACAGCGGGATAACCAAGTGGAGGTCCTGTGAGGGCCCAGCATCGATGGTGTAGTAGAAAGCAGAGGCCTCCAGCCACACCAATGACTCTTTGCAATGAACATGTGCAAGTAAAGATACATGGATAAAAGGGTTGGCCGCGTGCCTCACTGTGTCACACTACAGCTTCCACCGAGAGACCGATCTTTCCTTCTTTTCTTTCTCTTAAATTTTATTTTATTTTAGGGGGAGGTTGTGAGGGTAGATGGTGGTTATGAAGGGATAGGGAGATTAATGGGATGGAAATGTATGATGTGAAAGACACAAAGGCTAAATTAAAAAATATTTTGTAATAATTTTAGTTTTACAGAGAAGTAGCAAAGAATAGGAAACATTCTGGTGTTCTCTTCACCCAGTGTCCCCTAGCTTACACTATTGTGACACATTTATAGAACTAGAAATCCAGCACTCATACATTACTACTGTACTGGCTGATTAACACACACTAGAGTCTTGAGGAAGGAAGGAGCCTCCAGTGAAAAAATGCCTCCATAGGATCCAGCTGAAGGCATTTTCTCAATCAATGATTGATGGTGGAGGGCCCAGCCCATGGTGGGTGGTGCCTTCCCTGGGCTGGAGGTCCTATGGGCTGAGCAAGCCATGGGAAGCAAGCAGCATTCATCCATGGCCTCTGTATCAGCTCCAGCCTCCAGGTTCCTGACCTGCCTGAGTTTGTGTCCCAACTTCATTTGGTGTTGAACAGCAATGTGGAAGTATAAGCCAAATAAACCATTACCCACCCTTCCAACCTGCCAAAAAAGAGCCAGGCATGATCATCAGCTTTTCTTCACTGAAAAAAAAAATGACCTTTCATTAAGAGACTAAGAATGATCACCTTAATTGGTGTTACCGTTCATTTTATTTTAAAAATGGCTCGGAAGAAAACAGAGGTGTGTTCCATAGTATAAATATGACAACCATAATACAATAATATGAAATGGGCTTTATATGCCTTGAAGCCTGGAAGCTACATAGCACTGTGTTGCTATGGTTGCCTTAGTGAGTGGGATCAAGATAAATCTTTATTTCCTTCTTGGAGTGAGCACTGTGGCCCACTGTCCAGACATTACTCAGGACCAGGGTGCTCTTCCCACAGACACTGATGGCTCAAAGCTGAATGTGCCTCCAGCACTTTCTTCAGCCAAAGGAAGCTGCTGAGTCTGGGTTATCTATCTACATTATACCCTCCGTGGTGGCAGCCTACATCCATTTACTTACTTATCCTACATTATACCCCAATGGTGGCAGCCTACATCCATCTACTGAGCAATGAAGGAGTACAAAGTCCCAGCCCCTTGTTCAGTTCATGATAGCTCTAGAGTTCCCTGTGGGATTGGCTGAAACCACTGCCATTGTATTATCTTACAATTCTAACTGCATGACTGGAGGGAAAGGGACAGATGGGCTCAGTTCACTAATGACTTGGCTTTATATGTGGGTTCAAGCCAAAAGTAGTGTTATTGCATAATGACAACTGACTCAGGTGATATCCAAAACAGCAATAAAGGAAACCTTCCCAATGGGCAACCTTAAAAAAGGGAGCCTTGAGTTGGGCAGTGGTAGCACACACCTTTAATCCCAGCACTTGGGAGGCAGAGACAAATGGATCTCTGTGAGTTTGAGGCCAGCCTGGTCTACAGAGCAAGTTCTAGAACAAGCTCTAAAGCTATGAAGAAGCCTTGTCTGGGGACAGTGGGGAAGGAAGCCTTGGGCTAGAGAGTTGGATCAGCAGTTAGGATGCTTGTTGCTCTTGCAGATAACTTGAGTTTGATTCCCAACACTCACATGGCAGCTCACAGCCATCTGTAACTGCAGTCACAGAGGATCCAAAGCCCTCTTGTGACCTCTGTGGACACCAGGCATGCATGTGGTGTGTATACATAGATATATAAAATGATAAAATAAATAACTATTAAAACATTTTCATTTTTTCTTAAACAAAACAGCTAGCCCAGTCATCCACCCACTCTGTGCTTGAAGAAAGTAGTCTGAAGTCAGGCCATTCATGGAATCATTGAGCAGGGGTGAGTCACTTGCTACTTGATTCAGGGTCAAGAAAGGGAGAATTTGGGTAAGAAGGTCTAGGATAGAGGTTATGTGCATGGAGATATGGTCCACAGTATGAGAAGATCCTATCACATATCAATACCTATTATAGGGCACCCACCATGGAAAAATCTCTAAACCATCTAAGCATGTGACAGACTGCTTGGAACAATGAACTGACAAATATTACATTCATGGTAGCTTAGAGGAAGCTACCTAACTGTGCCTAACTGCTGCTGATCAGCATTAATTCAGCCATTACCACTATGTAATGTCTAGTCTAAAAGACAACCACACTTACTGTGTTCTCAGCCTCTGAGGAAGCCATAGTCTATCTGATAGTAACTGGATTGCCTAGATCCTTTCCAGTCATCCTTGTTAGAATCCACACATATTCCAGGTATTTTGTTATCCTGGAAGGACTTGAACAGTAAACTTATGTGATAAATGAATATTATATGTCTATGAATAATCACCATATTGCCCCAAACATGGACAAAAGATACACTGTTTTATAGTTTTGCAGTGGGAAAATCTCAGTACTCATTTGTGAAAAAAAAGAATATTAAAAGAAAAAAAAAAGCAACCATATTCTAAGTATCTGGAAACTATTTTGAACTCGACCAGGATTCCCATGTGTGATACATGAGAAAGATGGTGATAGGATGCTAGAAACATTTCTGCCTGACTCCTTTTACACTTTAATGAAATCCCCTCTTCAAAGGAGTGAAGGCTTTAATTGTAAGAAAAGAAAGGAAAAGCCTTGGGGCATTTGAAGGAGGGATGGATTCTGGGTAGCCATCAGCAGACTGAAGATTTAGGTTCTCCAAGGAGATGAAAAATGGAGAAAGCACAGAGTACCTGCTTTCCTTCTACTCAGAGCCACAGTGGGGACCCCTGTAGCAGGGTGCAAGTGTAGAGATGAGAGACCACAAGCCTCAGTTAGCAATTCTAGAAGACAGTCCACCAGCTAACAATAATGATTGATCATAGAGTCTTGAATTTGAACTGAGTTTTATGCTTTTCAGAGCGCTTCCTCAGATGCTATCTATCTCTTAGATCTCTCACTCAAGATGGCTTATTGTTTAAAGTCTTGTTTTTAAAATGTTTAAGGCAAACAAGCAAAATCCTAAGCACGTGCATTGCTAAGTCCGATTCTCTTTGAGAAGTCATTTAAGCCGAGTAAGCTATAAAATAAACGCGTAGAATTACAGCTTCGCTCAGTCTTTTGCAAAACAAGAGCAAAGACTTTTCTCGTTGGTGGCGACAACACAACAGCTTTAGTGAATTAGAGCAACCCGAACTTACCAGAAAGAATGAGAGTAAACCATTCAGCCAACCCCAACGAGCAGAGGGAGGGAGGGAGCTTGCAAATCCCCTTACTCACCGGAATGGGCCCTTTTGTGTGATTTCCTGTGGAGGCAGCAGTGGGGCGGCTATATATATATAGCAGGGGCTCTCCCCTGGAATCCAGCACCAAGGGCATCCCTTACCACTCTCCAGCGAGATGGGAAAGGTAAGTCCTGGGACCCTGACCTTTGCCCTCACGAAGCATCCTTGGCTGGGAGAAATCACTTACTTGTCTGGTCCCTTTCTGCCTTTACAGATCACCTTCTACGAGGACCGCAGCTTCCAGGGCCGCTGCTATGAGTGCAGCACCGACTGCCCCAACCTGCAGACCTACTTCAGCCGCTGCAACTCCATCAGAGTGGACAGTGGCTGCTGGATGCTCTATGAGCGCCCCAACTACCAGGGCCACCAGTACTTCCTGAGGCGTGGGGACTACCCTGACTACCAGCAGTGGATGGGCTTCAGCGATTCCATCCGCTCCTGCCGCCTCATCCCCCACGTGAGTGTGGCTCAGTCTTTATTCCTGGTCTCTGGAAACACACATTATCTTAAAAGGTCATTTTAAACCAAGCTGTTCCAACTAGGGAACAGAGAGTGGGTGTGAAACCGTGTGTGTGTGTGTGTGTGTGTGTGTGTGTGTGTGTGTGTGTGTGTGCGTGCGTGCGTGCGTGCGTGCGTGTCCAGGAGAGTAACTCAGAGAAGAATCTCATTTCTCAGGAACTTGTTGATGATTTTGGGGAGGGGGTGTTTCGAAACAGGGTTTCTCTGTATTGCTTTGGAGCCTGTCCTGGAACTAGCTCTGTAGACCAGGCTAGACTCGAACTCACAAAGATCCACCTTCCTCTGCCTCCCGAGTGCTGGGATTAAAGGCCACCAATGCCCAGCTGAGTTTTTTAAAAAAACTCACACCCCCATATTTACATTGTATAAGCCACTGAGAATCCAAACACCAGAGAAAAATGAAGAAAAATAGGATATTGAAGACAATCATTTACCACCTGTTCAAAATATAATTCTCCTCCATATAAGTTCAAATCAGAAATCCAGTACTTCTTAATCTATAAATATGATGTACTACTCTTTGGGTTATTAAAAGTGCATTGCATGGGTAGTGTCAAGAGTTCAAGGCCAGCCCAGACTACACCTTTGTCTAGGACCATAACACTCTCACCTAAAAATACGTTTTGGCTTGCTTGGTCTTGCGTTTCTATTTGATTATTTTTCCCAACTTCTGGTTTTTATTTGTATGAGATGAGCAGTATCTATTAGCTCCCTTTGAGGAATACACCATCAAAAAAGGTCAAATCTAAAACCAATGTTCAAGATTCTTGCTTTCTGAAGAACGACCACAGCATTTCTAGGCAGATGGAGTGTGGGAGATGTGAGACACGGTGCCACACTACGGAAATGCAACTTCACCAAGGCGGGTTACCACAGACAGGGAAGGATCTGTCTACAAGATGGGAACTAGTTGGATAGGCTCCGACTTGGGCTGAAACTGAGGCTTGGAAAGAGAAACGAGGAAAAGACAGGCCCTTATGTGTAACGGGAGCTCACTCTTTGCTTTCTAGATACATGAACAGCAACACACAAGTTTTGCAGAAAATAGCTGATGGTTAATACCTTTTCAACAAGAGAGACAAATCAAAATGTGACCTTTCCAGTAACTCTCGGTTTCCTCCCTCCCTCGACGAGGGCTGTGTCATCAACAAAGCACTGAGATGACATAAGTTCCATTTTAAGCCATATTTAATTAAGTGTGATAAGCTTTATTTTAAGCAAAGTTTAATTGTCAGGGACCACAGACTGGTAGACAGTCATGGAGAGGCCTGAGCTTTGTTTCTCGACTGGCCAGTGAAGCCCTAGATAATTCAGTGATAGACTATGGGAGTAGAAACTTCTGAAACCTGCACTATGCTTTGCTGAATGCGGACTTGAACTCAGGATTTCGAGGCGGGAGATGCTGGGGCTGGAAACAGCTTCTGCCTGTGTTCATTTGCTTTTCCTGTTCTGTCTGTCATCACCAGCACTCCGGCACTTACAGAATGAGGATCTACGAGAGAGATGACTTCAGAGGACAAATGTCCGAGATCACAGACGATTGTCTGTCTCTCCAGGATCGCTTCCACCTCAGTGAAATCCACTCCCTCAATGTGCTGGAGGGCTGCTGGGTCCTCTACGAGATGCCCAGCTACAGGGGTCGGCAGTACCTGTTGAGGCCCGGGGAGTACCGGAGATATCTTGACTGGGGGGCTACAAATGCCAAAGTTGGCTCTTTTAGACGAGTTATGGATTTTCACTGAAACGTTTTCATTATCCACTTTGTTTCTTTAGAGCCTAATAAAATATGTAGCTTGTGATTCTGGCACCACAAGAAGAGTCCTGCCTTTCTTTCACTCCAAAGCAAAAATGGCCCTAAGCCAAGCATGATAACCTTTTCAAGGGGGAATTACATTCTTGGTATAACTACATTCTCTAATGACTAAATATGCAAGATCAAAGAAAACTTTACATTATCAAGAAAAGCCATACTGGGCTGGTGACCTGGTTTAGCAGGTAAAGATGCCTGCTCCCAAGCCCTATGTCCTGGGTTTGATCCCTAAAACCCATTTAGTAGAAGGAGGGTACCAATATTCCCAAGACTTGTTTTTTTACCCACATGATGCCCCCCAAACACACAAATAAATAAAAATGTAAGAAAGAAGAGATGGCTCACTGGTGAAAAGCATTTGTTGTTCCAGAGGACCCAAGTTTGAATCCTAGCACCTTCAAGAAGGCCCACAAGAGACTGTTACTCCAATTCCAGGAGATCTAGTGCCCTCTTCTGGCTTCTACCAGCACTATACTCACATGGTACATTGATATACATGTGGGCAAACCCCCCATATATATAAAAAATAAAATTAAAATAATGTAATGAAAAAATTTGAAAGATAGGTCAAATTATTCCCAGTAGTAAAACCTGCTTTTCTTTCCTTCTTTCCTTCCTTCCTTCTTTCCTTCCTTCCTTCATGTCTTCTTTTTCTTTTTTCTTTCTTTTTCCCGAGACATGGTTTCTCTGGCTGTCCTGAAACTAGCTCTGTAGACCAGACTGGTCTCAAACTCACAGAGATCCCCCTGTCTCTGCTTCCCAAGTGCTGGGATTAAAGGCATGTGTTACCACCACCTGGCTAAACTGTTTTTTCCTATGGGTCCTGGAAAAAGAGTTCACTGAGTAAAAATAATCAAAAATAGCCTACAGTTATTAAATGAGGTCATAGGACTGTTTCCAGAAAAGTTTATAACTAAGTCTGTTGAATTCACATCAAAATTCATCTGATTACCCCACCTTTTGAGAGGCTGGTGAATTGGCTTAGATGTCATCTTACCTAGGGTCTTCTCCCCACACAGATGTAACCAAATTCTCCTGAAGAAGGAATGAATGGGCTATGCCTTTCCCAGGAGTCCCTAGTCTGTACTCCTGCTCATCAGTGAGGGTCATTACACCCTCCCAGTGAGCACTGGTTTTCCTATGGGCCACACTGGCCCAGAGAGATAACTCATTCTCATAATCTCTGACCTAGCTCTCACATCTGGCTTTGATGCACACAACTGTTTGTTGTTATGGAGGTTCTGGGGTCACATGAGTATAAGTTTATTTTGGAATAGTACAATTGTAGAAACTTAACACTAGGTGACCCCTGGTTTTGTGGATGCAGCTCAATGTAGAGAATTTGTTTAAACATGGAAGGCCATTGATTTAATTCTCAATATTAGAAGAAGCATAAAGTATTAGATGGCGCTATTTTATAAGGTCTGTAGGTATCAGCAGATGTGCCTCATGTCCCTTCCTTGCTCCCCTCTTCTTGGTAATTATCTATATGCACATGGCTATTTATTTCTTTTGGAGTCTCCTTTCATTCCATGTCTTTAGGGCCTTCATGTTCAATACCTAAGCACTGTAAGCATATAATCTGCACATAAACTGGGTCACTTTTGGAGTTAAGGAACTTCCTATTGACAATTATTAATAATTCTGGTAAAAGAAGAAATGTTCTGAAAAACTGGGGCATATGATTAGCCTGCTAAGTATTTTATGTGATTATATATTTGGTAAGACAAAATCTTATAAAATGTTTTACATAAATATGACTTCCCTAGGAAATAGTCATATTCTCAGGTAATTCAGTTTTAATTATTCCTAAACCCCAGTTCTTTAGCCTTTCACCTCCCAGCACCAATTTAACCCTTAGATGCCACTACCTGACATAAAATCAGTTCTCTGTTCCCCAACAACAACATATCATGCATGAGCTAGATGGGCAGAAGCCACTTGGCTGTTGACTTTTGAACTATTTACTTGGGAGGCAGAAAATCAAACCTGAGCAACAGAAATTATTCTTAAACACCTGAACTGGAAATTAGAGTTCCTTAGCCTTTTCTTTTTGGAAGAACTCATTATGTAGACAAGGCAGGCCTCAAACTCGTAGAGATCCTCCTGCCTCTGCACACACACACACCCCACACACACACCCAGTGCAGAGATTAAAGGCATGTGCCATCATGTCCATTCCATGAGTCTTTTTCTTGGGGCCATTGTTCTTGAAATCCCTTGCTCTCATCTGTGAAATACAGGAGAAGAGAAATTCCCCAGCATAAAGATAAAGTTACCGATGGAGAGTGTCTTGGGAAATGTACTATACACATACCAGCTTCTAATCCCACCAGTTACTCACTCCCTCCTTTCTGTGTTTAAAATTAAGACCCCAGGGGTCCCTTTTGGGGAGGGAGGGCCTAATATGAAGCAGTCAACTTGAGACAATCCTAGTGTCACCCTATGTATTCTATACTCTAAATGCCTAACATACACCAGGATTTCCTGCATGCGCTAGTTTCTAACACTGAGTCTTACTTTAACTCTTTTTCTTCCCTCTTTCCTCTTTCCCCCCTTTGACTCTAAGCTTTCTTGGATAAACAATCTTATAAAAGGCTTACCAAACAATGAAACAGGAGGTCTGCTGCATTTAGGAGTGCCAGCTCCTACTGTATTGCATTGTCCCTGGAAAGTGTACTCAATGCAAGGTCTCTCCCCAGTTTGCCTGCCCTGCCATCACCATGGGCTTAGGACCTGATATAAGTACCCTTTTCTCTCCCCTCCAGATATCTGTCAAAGCAAAAGTAACAGCCATAATCACTTGTGATGAATTGCCAAAAGGAAATTAATTGCATCTGTGTAACAAGGGGAGTGCTAATAGAGACTGGTCCCCTATTTAGTCTCTTGGTTTGGAACAGTTTTGTCTATGTGGTCACCATATACATAACTACTGCTCGTTGTACTGAGTACACATGCAATACAAGTGCTACACTAATGGCTAAGAAACAGAAAGGCAGGTGGTAGCACCAACTTCTGGCCGGACTTCAGACTCTAGCAAAACTCAACTTTGAGTTGCTTGATGCTGTTGAAACACTAACTTGCCATTTCAGAGGACATTAAAAATAGACAATTAAAATTACTAAGGGACTGGGGTAGAGCTTGGGTGAAAGTGCAACATTCCTGTTTTCTCCCTTTTGATTATTCTTTACTGTTATACTAGCTCATTAATTAAATGAAGCCCAAGGTGTGGTCAGACCACAGACTGAAGTTCACAGACAATGAACTTTGATGCGAGTACATTTGCCCACGCAACCTGAGTATTTTAAATAGGTCCTGGAAATTATAACTACACTGAATTTCAGGCTAGAAGAGCAGTCATTCATTTATTGTGACTTATGTTCTATCCATTCAGCCAATTAATGAGAATAAGTTGAAAAATAAAAAATAAAAAATGTGGAAAAGTCCTGATCCTATAAGACTCTCCATATCTGTTTTCAAGGAACAGTGGTCTAGATAAAGCAATGGAAACTTGATAATTGCTGTTGAACATGACACTTGTGCAACCAAGGAATAATGCCAAGTTCAGTCCAGCAGAGAGGAAGCTTCTAGCCCAATCCTAGTTTGACTTCTCTGTGTCTAGAGCCTGTGGTGTCCTCAGCAATAGAATCTTATCTGTAAGAGTCTTTTTTAACCCAGTAGGGAGAAACACTGCTTGCAATGTAGACCTCTTTCTTATTCTATAAAGTTCATATGCATACAATGGGAGGATCAGAGTGAAAAATCCATCACAGAAAGTGCAGAACTTACAAGTTACAAAGGAACCAGAAAGTGTGCCCCCCCACCCTACAGGCCCCTCACTACCTTGCTTGGAGGTCTCCTCATACATTAGCTGGGCCTTAGTTGCCTCCTGATTCTGCCCAGTTGTACCATTCTCTGTTCTACACTGTTCTGTGCAAGCATGCTAGATCAATACTATTGTACACATAGCAACTCACGTGCTCAAGGCCTTGAAATACTCTGCTGGCTCCTCACTCTCTTTTTGCCACATTGCCTGTCTAATCACACTGAGCACTTGTTGTTCCCATCTTCGCATTGCCATAATACTTCTCTCTAGACACCAATTCTCTTTTTGTTTATCAAACAAGTGTTTTCTTCAAGGCTCAGCTTAAGCAATTTCTCTGTAGAAACGTTCTAGAATCATCCCTAATTTTCTGGCTTGCTATGTTTGTTTACTTGCTTTTGTTTTGAGATGGAACTTGCTGTGTAGATCAGGCTCAGGCTGGCCTTAAACTCATAAAGATCTGCTTGCCTCTGTGCCCCCTCAGTATTGGGATTACAGGTGAGACCACACCTCTCCTGGACTGAGCTTGACATTATTCCTTGGTTGTCCAAGTATCATGTCCAACACATTGATTGTTGACCTCAGCTTTGGTCAGAAAAATTGTTTTGTTTTTGGTTTTTGCTTTTCAGTAGGCTGGGGAAATTGCAGAGATTCACAACTGGTCGACATGATAAGATTAAGAGATAGTCTAATGTTCATCCATAAACTAAACATCTATATCCCTCCATTCACTCAAGACTCAGGAAACATCACAGGAGAAGGGGCAGAGAGAATATATAATCTAGAGGAAGATGAAGAGTTACGTGGGGTACCAACTGCCAACCTATAATTCCAATACTGCGGAGGGTAAAGTTGGAAGATGGTGAGTTCAAAGCCAGTTCACACTACATATAGAGTTCAAATCTAGCCTGGGCTATGCAGAAAGACTATGCATTAAAAGAAATTTTTAGACAAAAATTTTTAAGTAAAAATGTTAAGCAAAAAGACTTATGAAAACTGAAGCTTTGATTTTTAATATTAGTTTTTTATTATCTTGTTAATAGTTTTAGTTAGTGTACCACAGAATGGATTTCATTGTGACATTTTTCACACCTATATATCATTGTACC